GCTAAAGTAGCACCACTGATTGTGTCAATGCAATGCCAGCTTTTTTTATACTGAATAGTGAGATGATAGGACAAGATAACACAAAATATAAATTTTGGCAATGTAGGAGTCATCTTCATACAAGACAGTTTTATTTTTTAAACAGGGCAATCAATTGAGCTTTGACACAAGATGCATTCATATATAATGGATATGGTAAGTTTAAGGGAGTTTAGGAGAAAGCTTGATAAGTATTTAAATGATAAGGGCTAGTTTTGAGTTGCTTTTTTTTAAGTTCAGTTTTGTCAACTGGACAGCCTTAGTTGTTATGTCAACCACACCATATCTGCAATATTCAGTGCTGACAAGGCCTTTCAACCAAAAGCTGGGTTCTTCAGACTGACTGGGATACAACAGACATAGTAGTGTTAAGACACTATTCATACTATCAAACTGCTTGAAAAACAACAATTCTGGTGTGAACTGGATTAGGCTGGTGAAATATAATTTTTAATGCTCATCATGTGAAACCCACGTGACTGTTTCTGGTTAGTAACTATTATATACTACTGTAATTAGTTCTCAGATGTAAAACATTTCATATGAACAAGTAAATCTAAGTATTTTAAAAACACTGTTGTTCTATATAATGCAATTAAAAAACAAATGCTTTAAAAAAATTTTAAATGGTGCCTGTTTCAAAATAATTACAATTAATGTAACAATTACAAATACTGAACAAAATTAATAGTTACCTACTGTGTGTATGACAGATTAGAAGCCATACAGCAAATTCATTGGTAAGTTAAAATTATACATTGTATCATGTCATCACACAAGTTAATAGTGTGCTTATGGGATTCACCTTATATGTCCCTTATCATGTTAATACAATGTTACTGAGGACCTTATAAAAACTCTATACACTACATATGCTGTAGATGTAGCATTTTCACATTGGAAGATTGCAGGCAACTTGAAATACATTTAGCCAAATGAGTTGATATATGTTACCAATTGTTAGTATTAATCCACCTCTTATACAATTCAATTAGTGATCAATAGTTTAAATCATTTCCTCAAAAGCATTTTTGTATTTATAAAACTTAAAAATTACATCCATCATTATTGTTTTATAAGATACATTTCTGCTGTAAATTCGTTTTAGTGGAACTAGTGAAACTTTAATACTTTAACCAACATCAGGACGACAAATATGGTGAATTTTAAAAACACATTTATGGATGTCCTAAACCAATCTCATTACAGTAAAGGTAAACTGGTCATACAGAAGTTACAGCCTAGACAATTAATACTACTACTTCAGAAGTTATAACATTAAACATGCTTTTATAATTTTGAGGTCATACTATTTATTATCAGATAAACATCTTTCAGTTCCTAATAATATTATTACTAAAAATCTTCTTCATTAGTACATACACTTACTCACTTGTTGTTACTGTAGAAAGCTGTACATTGATTTTAAAATTAAAAAGTGTAAGCACCTTAGTTCCATTAGATCTTAGCTTAAAAATAAAAAGATCAATATCAAACTAAGCACTTAAATTAAAAACCGATTGTTTTACTTGATGATCGATGTTGTCAGTGGCATGATATTGATACAATGACAATGAAAACGTGAGTTTAACTCTTAAGACAAATTCTAACCGCTCACTGTGGCTCCGTGTACGTTCCATTTAATTTTATTTAAAAACCCAAAACAATTGCAACATACTCTCCCTTTCCTGTAAAATAGTAATCAAAACTGTAAAAATTATATTACAAAAAGAGAAATATTCTGTTAAAATAAAATATTTTAACCTACTTTGAAATTTTGCTATCTCATCCTTTCAGTTTCAATGAAAAAAACTGCCACTACTGCTCTGACCGCAAGAGGGAAACTCATCCATAAACAAAATGTTATCTCAGCTCTCTACTGATCTCAACACATTTACAAGGTCTTTAGTTTAGACGTCTTTGTAGCTTAGCAGCCAGTGTTAGGTCTATTTTGTTTACATTTCCTTATCTCTCTTTTTATTATTTTTCTCATTGTTAAAATATTCTTGAATGATATGATTGACATGTCATTTAAATTTTAAGATGAAATCAAATAAAAAAATGCTAGTATCATAAGGTTCTTAGAACTGAGATCATTTGAGAATATACATATTTTGTTGTATAGCAATGATAACCCAAGAGGTTGGAATAAGTAAATATAATCCTTAGTTTTAGAGACAAAAAATAACGTGTGGATGTTTTTCATAGCATTTTGTGTATCCTTTAAGTGAATAGCTTAACTGTATTCCTCCTATGGGACAGCGGTAAGTCAACGGAGTGTGGCTTGACTCTCAAACAACCAAACTTAACTGTACACAAAGATTTTAAACGGACATATGATTATAGCTTATTGGTAACCGCGAAAAACGTCATCAGTTTTCAGATTTGTTTCAGAACTTACCACTGACCCACTCGGGGACCATTATTAAGAAGTTCTGAGAACTGTTTTAATATTTTAACATATTTATAATTCCCACGTTGAAATGATTATTAGGTTCTCAAATGACCCTGTCTTTTTATTAAAACAAATAAAAAATATATCTTAAACTAAAAAAAAATGTTGGTGTAATCTAAATGTCAACGTAAAACTATCAAGTATCACAACAAAATAATTTTGAAAAAATACTATTATTTTTATATACGTCTTCAGTAAGTTCCCTGTAACAAGTTTGTTGGTCAGTTTTATGTCCTGATCAATTACGTATGTTTTTCAATACTTTGTAATTCATTTGGGTGGGGTGTATGTTTGAAGATTTAATCAAATATATTTCTACTACAGGTATGAATATACACAGAGTTGGGTTCGTTATATCAAAACGATTTTTGGAGCCTCATCAAGTCGTTACAGTCCATGTCACCGCATACTATCATGCTCTATCTGACGACTGTGCAGTTTAACAATAGCCCAAAGCTATTGCAACAATGCTCAGTCGTAACGCTGTTACGTTCAAAGCACACCACTACTCCCCGTGTGCTTTCCATAATTCACCTAACAAATAAGTACGACGGTTTCTCAACACCCTTTTCAACAGTACAATTGCACAGAAATCCACAGGATTGTCGATTTCTTATTTTATGAAACAGCATGAAAACCCAATTCATTATGCAAGAGCTAGATATATTCTATGGATGAGCAAATATATCGTGGAAATACTCGTGACTTTTGTGGCTTTTACAGACAGAAAACCTTAATTATGTTGCGTATTGTTGTTGAAGGACTTATATGGCTTTTGTCATTGATCTTTGTGGTCGTGAATTCTCACCCTTTAGAAGACCCTTTACTGTCTTGCTTACAATGGCAGGGGTACAACTTGCTGCAGATCTCTTCCTGGATGGTCCTGATGACCCACAGTGATCCATATTTTTTTTCTTATATAATTTCATTACATACCTTAAGGGATATTCCCGTCTTGGAAACTAAATAGCCGATCTGAATACATTTAAGTGTTAGAATATTTTGTGCCAAAAAAAAAAAAGCAGTTACTTAGTCTTTTCAAAAGTGATCAGTTTTCAGTGGCATTATACTACCTACGAAGCGCAAAGCAACGTCAGTATGTAATTGTTATACATTCAATTCCACCACGACTTTACATCAGCTGTGGTTGTCACGTAGCTTGCTGATTTGCAAATTCAAGTTCGTTTTACTATAACGTACGCAATCCTCTCTCTTAATATATATATATATATATATACATTCTCCTGAAATACACATGAAAATAATATAGCGAAATTCAAACACTACTGTGGAATTTTTCAAACAAACTAATTTAGTTTGAAGCTTTCTTATTAACATGGATTCATAACGGTCCGACACGTTCAAAAATCTAAGCCTTTTGTTGTTGCTAATTTTGTAACATAATTTATTTTACTAGAGACAAAGTGGCTTCGCGCTTTGGATTCATTATTAAATAGTTGCGAGTTCGAAGTTAGCCCCATCATGCTGTTATGTTCTTGAGCAAGACAAACTATCCCACCTATTCCAGTCTACCCAGCTACGTGATGCGATGATTTGGCATTTCATCCAGGAAGAATGAGTCGCCATTCTCATCAATTTGTGCCATTGGAACCGGAGCTCGAAATATCAACCTTATGCGCCTTGTTTGTTTGTTTAAAGTTAAGCACAAAGCTACACAATGGGCTATCTGTGCTCTGCCCACCACGGGTATCGAAACCCGGTTTCTAGCGTTGTAAGTCCGCAGACATACCGCTGTGCTACTGGGGGGCTTGCGCCTTGTAAAGGCGCGGCATAGATATATTTTACTACTTTATTTACGCTATGTTTTACAGAAAACTTATAAATCAAATTTTTGGCACTAAAGTTACGCAAAAAACTGTCTTTAGTTACTAGCTAGTAATAATAATAAAATTTGTTATTATTATATAGAGAGCAATGATCTTTTTTTTTAACTTTATTACTAAAATGTCGAAATCTCTCGAATTCCCACTACAGATTTTGAAAAACAACAAAAATGTTTCCATTAGTCTATTGAATTCGCCATCGTGTTAAAGCAGCATACTTCGTACAAAATCTAAGAGGTTGTGTTTTGCTTGATAATTTTATAAGTATATATCAATTAGATAAGCTTAATTAGGGTGGGAATAAAAATCTTCATGTCGGTTTGCGAGTTTTGTATCATTCTGTATTTATATCAATTATTTACGAAAACTTTGAGATTAAAAGGTTTATCGTGAGTAAAAAAAAATATATAATTATCTTTCCCCCCAGATAAAACTTACTTGTAAATCGTACACTTCACCTTGCGAAACCAGTTTTTATTTTTTATTTCTAAAACGTAATTTAAAATTGGTACACATAACTCTGCTATTAATGACGATTATGGAAACGAGACTTATTCTTTATATTTTAAGACTAGCACAAAAGCCAGCCTATGGGCTCCTGTTTGTGCTAGTAATTACTAATCATAATAATCATACCTAATTCTAAAAAAGTGAACACTTACAAAAAAGCTACTTCATCGTCTAAAGAAAGGCATAACTTTTATCATTGGTTGTTTTGACACTCGCGCAAAGCTATACACACCTTTCCATCTACATTAGATGTCCCTAATTTTGAACTGATAGAACTAGAGTGAAGGAAGCTAGTCAAAAGAATCCACTGTCAACTTTGCGACTACTCTAATTGCATAGTAGGATTTGACCGCCACTCTTATAGCGCACTAACGGCTACAATGTACAGAACCACTAGGTCATGCCCACAAAACCTTACCATCCGACAGCTTAACCTTGCGCAATAAGTTATGACACGCCTTCACTGTGTCAGCAGATTGTGTGGAATGACAATACTAAATTTTTCAATATTTTTACCACATATATATTTTTAATTTCGTCTTTTCTACTGTACCGAGATTCCACACTCAGTTATAAATTATTTCATCCGCTAAATTATTACAAAATTCTAACATCTCGCGCGGAATTTATTTATTATCATTATTACATACTTGTTTTCTTACTTCGTTAGGGTAGGGGGTGGTGGAAAAAAGTATATATATTTTTGGATGTTTCGCGGGTAAGCATAGACATTATTGACCAGTTGTTAAAATCTTGTATAGCAGTGGTTTTCAAACTTTTTTTTCGTCGCAAATCACCCGATTTTATTTTTATATTAGCGAATTACAATTCGATCTGTACACTGTTTCTTTTCAGTAATTATGCAACCTTCCCACGTGCATCTGATGAGAGCCCGCGGACTATAGTTTCAAAAACGCTGTTATATAGTATGTGCACATACCATTCTATTATTGTGCCGAATACGCTATAGCTATCTCAATTTTGCTGCAAAGCAAACTTGTTTATTAAAAAGAAAGTGCATAAACTAATAATTATGCCACACAAGTTTCACAGTGGTCATATTCTTAACAATTTCTTCACTGTACGAGAAAATATTAAATAATTAAACATATTTAAATTGAAAAAAATAAAAACAAACACAGTAAACAGTGAAAATTTGATTTTGCACTTCAAATCTAACATTAATTATTTGCCTCTTGTGGTTTTCTTCGAGTGATATCATTACGGATTGAAAAGTAAGTATAAAAAGACTAGGCAATGAAAAGATGATAGCTTTGGTACCTCTTTGTATTTGACATCTTTATTCCTATATAATTTTGAGTAAAAAACACTATCTCACTTACTGGAAGAATTACACAAAACTCTAAGTTTCAAAAACAATTTTACATTCATATGATGTTTTTCGTTTTTCTTTATTTTTTAAGATTAAAAATAACATGGAAATTTTCACTATGTAAGTGATCTATCTGTGATTTTTCTTTGGTTTAATTAATTACTGGAACCTTTAACTGAGAAGGTGATGAAAAATGCAATAATAATTTAATTATTCCATTTTTCATAAAAATTTTTTTAGAAAACTTTTGTCTTAAGTTAAACTATACACCTGGAAAAAAGTTAAGCACCCCCGTGTTTTTTTTCAAGTGATTCAGATTCGACGTTCTTGTGACTGATTATAAATTACCATCCAATCTAAACGTGTTTATCAAATGAAATTATGCATTATTGGGCACAAGAAAACAAGATTATCACCGTAAAATAACAATTTTTAATTTACATAT